TCCCTGTGCCTTGCTAAGCTTGTTCTAAGTAGATGCTTTAGACCACTGAGCCATCTCTCCAGTCCTGTATTATGTTTTTAAAGGGTTTCATATCTGCAAGTTTGGAAAACTTAAGTAGTTGCAAACTTTAGGATATCATTTCATTTCCAGGTCAACTTGATCTTATATGCCAAGTTCATTGGTGGAGAGAAATACTTTTCATGTCTAAATCAATAATTAGTGTCCCAAGGGAAACTTGAGATTTTTTTAAGGAAGGGAAATTCTTTCAGTATCAAAGAGATGAGATATCAGGAAAAACCAAAATCCTTTTGTTTAGGACATAATCTAATTAATTTTCCTCATCTTTTTTTTTCTTTCCTTCTGAATGAATGTAAAATCTTTTATTTTTTTTTCCCACTCCCTCAAGATACACTTTTACTACATTCTTTCAGATGACTATTTTTGGTTTAGAGGCAAAATCAACACTTAGTGGCTTAACTGGCCTTCATATGATGTTCATTCCTTCCAGCTTTTCATGTTTCAACTTTTGCGGGGCCTGGCCTACATCCACCACCAGCGTGTTCTTCACAGGGACCTGAAACCTCAGAACTTGCTCATCAGTCACCTGGGAGAGCTCAAGCTGGCTGATTTTGGTAAGTTGCCTCCTGCGTCTCCTGCAAGGCTGTGAACAACGCTGCTTTTGTGTGTACTGTATGAAGCATCGAGGAGGCCTGGCCTTTGAAAACTGGGGAGCAGGAACATGCTGCTTTGTGAGGGTATCACACAGCCCTGCAGGAAATGTGGGGCAAGCAAAAGGGGGGAAGTGGCTGCTTCTTGGGATTCTCTGAAGCCCTGGTCTAACCAGATGCCAAAACTTAAACACACACACACACACACACACACACACACACACACACTGCCATTTTTGATATATATTTGTAGACTTCAGGTTTTTCTGCACCTGAGAAGATATTAAAAATTCTGTCAGAAACAATTAAGGTTTTTCCAGCCAGGAGTGGTGGTGTATACCTGTAATCCCAGCACTTGGGAGGCTGAGGCAGGAAGATCACTGTGAGTTTGATGTCAGCCTGAACTACATAGTGAGACACCCCCCCCCAAAAAAAAAGAACTAATGTTCATTCCAGGATGGCAGGAGAAAAAGATTAACCCAAGACTCTAGCATGGACAATAATGGGAATATACATTTGTTCTTGCTTGCCTAAGTATGTGACTGTAACTGTATTCCTGTGAAAATGGCATAGATTTCCTATATCCCTTTATATTTCCATTTTATCCATTATCATTGCTTACAACTGTATTCACATACAGACACATTTCATACATCATCCATGCACACAAACAAACACAGAATATATGTAACATATATATACATATGTGCGTCTATATGAATACATATATATATATATATATATATATATTTTTTTCCTCCTCTGCCAGACTTTAAACATTAGGAAGGTATCTGGGTTTGGTCTGCTTTTGCTTTAAATTGTTTCCCTAGCTCCTCATATCATAGTAAGTATTCAACTGTTTTTTTAGGATTTTTTTTTTTTAACATTTATTTGTGTGTGTGTGTGTGTGTGTGTGTGTGGCCAGCTCTCAGCCCACCAGGGGGTGGGGCTGGCTGGCATGTGGTGCTGGGGGATCGAACCACGATCCCTGTGCTTTGCCAAGCTTGTTCCAAGTAGGTGCTTTAGACCACTGAGCCATCTCACCAGCCCCTCAACTGCTTTTTTTTAAAAAAAAAAAAACAAAAACTTTTCATTTATTTATTTGGTACAGGGTCTTGCTATGCTGCTCGGACTTGTAGTAATCCTCCTGTCTCAGCCTCCCCAGCACTGGGATTATGGGCGTGGGCCACCACACTCAGTTTCAGTGGCTGGTGCTATGTGTCCAGTGTTTCAGGGCCTGAATGGCATGTAGTACTGGGGATCAAACGCAGGTCCTTATGCTTGCCAGGCAGGTGCTTAGGACACATGAGTTCCATAAGAACTAAGGAACAGCTGTCCTCTGTTTGGCACATGCCAAATGGGATTCTGTAGCTCCAGGACTCTATTCTGAGATAATAAACATTTAACAGGCACTAATTCACCAATTCTTCTTAACAACAAACTCCTCTGTGATGGTTTTGCCCAAATACAGACTCTGTGACTGATTCTGTGAGATACGCAGCTGGCCGACAAAGCACACTCACTTTGCAGAGGACTTGAGAGAATCACTTGAGGCCCTACCACACTAATTTGGACCAACAGTTCCCACTTTTTATTTACCACACTGGGGGTTCCTGAACTGCAAAAATTGAGGCCAGACACGTTAGTCCTGCTCTGAGTTTGCTCAGTTGCTGTTACAGAACCCCTACTTACAGACATATAACACACCAAAAATTTAACATTTTATCGTACACCAGTTGTGACCCAGATAGTCAGAGCTTGTAGGGCAGCCTTCTGGCATCTCGTGGTAGATGTCACGCTGCTCCATGGTGCCAAAGGTATCTTCCTAATTATATATTTCAAGGTGGTTGTAACTTACTGTTCATCACAGCTCAGAAGACATGGAAGAGGAAAGCAGAACACATGATTCCTCCATTAATGTAGGACCCACAAGGTCACACTGTACCTGTATTCATATCATTCAGACAAGAATTTAAGTCACTTACCCACACTTAGCATCTGGGAGACCACATCTAACTACAAAGCACATCAAAACTTGAGAAATCCTCTTGATGAACTGATTCACAGGGTTAAGAGAGTTGAGATCTTCCACTGAGAGCACTCAGTATTTTTGAGATGTTGGTTACTCTGCCAGTTACACACTGCCTGGTAAAGCACATTCCTGTATCTCCCAGGACAATGGGTCTATGTTTTTCCCTTTTGGGCAGGTCTTGCTCGTGCCAAGTCCATTCCCAGCCAGACATACTCTTCTGAAGTTGTGACCCTCTGGTACCGGCCGCCGGATGCTTTGCTGGGAGCCACTGAATACTCATCTGAACTGGACATATGGTAAGAACTAGAGCCAAGAAAATGAAGAAAATGTGAGCCTTCCTACCTGTAAGTGTTGCTTATTGTTTGCATCAGATTTTTAATAATAAAGATAATCACATGTATCTATAAATAGAAACATGAGATGATTCCAAATGCATATCTAATTTGATCTTTGCAATCATTCTACAAGTTTTTGTAGTCAAAGAAACCAAGTTCCAGAGACGTCCTGCCCAAGGAATCCTCTGCATCTAGTACTCTTTCTACCTTGCTCATTTTCCTGACTCCTTACTTCAGCACTTTGCCTTTTCTTCTCCCTGACACCTTCTTCTCAGAGAAACACACATACACTCCCAAACCACAGATGCAACACATATACAGCCATACCACACACTCACGTGTGCCTAAACACAGTGCAAAGCCTAAGGAAAAAGAGAAAAAGACTAAGATTCAAAGGTCCTGATTTTGTGGATGTGTGCCGATTCTATTTTTAATTGATTATCCCAGATTCTGTGATCTTGAAAACGGTCGTGGGAATGTAGCTGAATGGTAGACCGACTACTTGCCTGGAATGCATAAAACCCTGGGTTCAATCCCTAACAACACACACACACACACACACACACACACACACACACACACGTGCTCATGTGTCCTCTTTATATTCTTGTTTTTTTCCATTTTAAAAATGAGTGTATGGGGGGGCTGGTGGGATGGCTCAGTGGTCTAAAGCACCTACTTAGAACAAGCTGTAGCAAAGCACAGGGACCGCGGTTCAATCCCCCAGCCCCACATGCCAGCCAGCCCCGCCCCCTGGTGGGCTGAGCTGGCCACACACACACATAAATAAATAAAAATTTGAAAAAAAAATGAGTGTAATAAACTCTCCCCACCAGGAGTTAGATGGACATTAGAAGAAATATAATAACCAGATAAGTGCATCAAGTAGAGCCACATATTTTGGAGAGTGTCTCAGGTTAATGGGGGTACAAATTCATTATCCTAGAACGGCAGGATCTTATTCCTGGAGCTGCCCCAGTCATCTGGGAGACCACAGTTGACTGTCTGGTGACTTTATAGACACAGCCAACTCTTCGAAGGCAATAAAATAGATGGTCCTGCTTCAAGGTCTTAGAGGACAGGCTCTCTTCCTAAAAATCAATAATAGATTTTTAAAAATTAAACATTCACCTAAAAGGCCAATCTAAGCTTTTAGATTTCATAAAGAATGAAGAAGATTGCAGAAATTTTCCTTCAGTGTATCTAGAATCAATGAGTATCTGATCCCCAGAACCATTTCTGAAAATCTCCCCTCCCATCCAAGTCCTCCTGAAACTGTTGGCTCCCTTGCTTTGCTGTCATTTCAAAGGCTTCTACAGGCTTAGGCATGCTCCACTCTTAATGATGTCTTCCTCTTGTGTTTCACGGGCAGAGAGTGAAATTTCTACTTGTCCCAGTTTCAAACTTTGTTTTATTATAAATATTTAAAGCATTCAAAAATATGTATAACATATATGTGGATCAGTGATTCTTAATTTTCCCAGATACTTTTGGCAAGGTTTAGAGATGTTGTCTGTGGTCATGGTTGTGTATATGGGGGAGGGGTGCACTGGCATCTAATGAGTAGAGACCAGGGTGCTCTTCAACATTTTGCAATGTGAAAAACAGTTCTGACAAAGACTTATGCAGCCCAAAATGTCATCGTGCCAAGACTGAGAAAATGATATAGGTTAAGAAATGTAATACAGGGCCGGGGAGATAGCTCAGTGGAATAAGTGCTTCCTTGGCAAGCGCAAGGACCAGAGTTCAATCCTCAGTTCTGCCAAAAAAACAAAAAAAAAAAAAAAAAAAAAAACCAACAAAAAAAAAAAAAAGAAAAAGAAAAAGAAAGAAATGTAATGCAGTGAACTCCATAAGTCTAGAACATAACCAATACTGTCACACTGCCACGTGTGCTTTCCACCAACTTGCTCCTCCAGTGGAGGGCTTTTACCTGAATTCTAATTTATTTCTTTTCTTTTTTGGTCCATATCCCCTTTTAAAATAGTATTTTCACCTTTTATTCATTTTCTAAGATATATTGTTTAACCTGCTTTTCGCCTTTTGTGAAAATGGTGCTTTACTATGCTTGCTCTTCTGTGACTTGCTTTCTTT